TGTATGTATGTATGTATGTATGTATGTATGTATGTATGTATGTATGTCCCTTATGACTGTGTTAAACCAGGCTGTGGTCATCTAAAAAAGGGATTGGTTTCAGGCTTCTGTTTGTCATTTGTCCCCCAATAATAAAAATAAAAGGACTAATAAATGCTTTAAGAGTCCAATATTCAACTTTACTGTCAGCCTTACAGCAGAAATGAGTTAACCAGCTGTCTACAAGCTTCTGGTTTCTGTGTACAAAGATGCTGCTGCTTTTTCTGCACTTCTAATTAACAGCATTCAGCAGATTTCCTGTGTAAAGACTGACCACAATGAAAATGTTGAATGGTTTTTGTGTGTTACAGGTCTCTCTTGTAAATGAGACTAGCTGTCTTAATTAGATTACCTGTCTAAATAAATAATAAGTAAAATGTTTATTAAATAGAAATCAATGAACTGACATTTTACCATCAGTGCCATTAGCGACCAGGCTAACTACTGTTAGCAAAGCAAGCTAATAACACTATTGTATGGATGCTYATTCCACAATTTTTGATTTATTTTAATAATTTAGATATCGAAAAGCTTCAGCTCCTTCAAAACATTCCAACTATTACTTCTGGTACTTCAGCAATTTATACTTTTTGAGATATTTTGGTTTTTGCCAATTTTTTTTTTACCTCATTGGAATGAATGGAGYTGTTTTGAACACCTTTAAAACTCTTCAAAAAAGTCATAAATTTTTACTGTGCTTTTTTACCTTTTGTTCTGGTTCTACATTTTTACTTCTGTGCTCATTTCTGCTTCTATTTAGCTGATTTTTAAAACTTTTTTTATGCTTTTTAGCTTTCGTTTTCAAATTTTATCTTATTCTGCTAAGTTCAACTTTCTGCTGTTTAAGCATTTTATGCTTTTTTCAGCTGCTTTCTGCCAATTTCAGTTGTTGTCTGTGTTTTAGCTACTTTTCAATAATAATAATATTTTTTCAGCTAAATGAACCTTTTTATGATTATTTCAGATGTTTGTTTCTGTTCMTGCTAATTTCAGCAATTTCAGCTACATTTAAAGCTAGTTTCAGCTTTTCTTTTAGCTATTCAGTAAAAATAGTTCAGTGTTAAGCATTCACACTGCGTTTTTGCAGGAAATGCAGATACTCGCTGCTTATTTTTTCATTTTGTTACTAAAACAAGAAGCAACTAATATCATTAACAATGTTTGAAACAACGTGTGTTCTAACCACTTTCAATCTCACTGGATTACTGAGTTACAAACTGACAAATGCCAAAATAAAAAAAGTTTATTCCTACAACTATCACAACTTTTCAGCATTACTGAGCTTTGGGGTTGAAGCTGGCCAGGAGTTTTTGACTTTTTCTTTAAGAACTTTGCATGCAAAAAGATAAAAATGTTCATTTCCCCCTCCCAGAACACTATCTCAAAAAATCCAAACTTTAAGAAGAAGAAATGAAAATATTAGTGATTAAAACTTTTTATTTGCTTCATGAATCCTCAGCTTTGACTCAGAGAGGAGAGACAACAAAGAGGGCAGTTCCAGCCTTTGGAGGGGTGTGGTCTGTGTCCAAGAGCAGCCCAGTTGAGGATAAAATGTGGAGAAGTGATGCTTTGGCTGCTTTAGTACCAAACCTCCCTGAAGAAGAAAGACCGGGAGCACTTTGAAGCTCGCAGAYACACGAGAGGCACTTCTTCCTGCTACACCCGAGCTCTGCAGCTTTACTGGAGGAGTTTTCTTCTTCTTCACGTTTCCTCTCTGCATCATTAAGATCTTCAGAAATAAACCTCACCTCTTATCAGAAGGTAAATTATTTCTACAGAGTAAAGTCGCAGCTTTGAATCTGTTTTAATTCTTTTCACTTTATTATTATTTCAGTGATGCTTCCTGCAAATCAAAGGAAAATGCAGGCAACTTTTCTTTTTTACCATCACTCATACAGTAATTTGAGATTAGCTAAAGCAGCATGGATTCTTTTAAAATGCTTTCACRTGCCCGTCTGTTAAAATATCTGATGAATCACTGAACGGACTTTATTTGAACTTCCAGGAAGTGATCTTTATTCTTCTGCAGCTGATTTTTTTCTGGCATCAGTTCAATTTAAAATGGCTGCCACAGCTAATAGACAACAACCAGGCAGTTTTACAGATATTGAGCTAAAATGTGACGAGGCAGTAGGTGTGTCGCTCCCAACAATGCCATTTTTTAAAGGAAATGCCAGGCCTTTAGTTTCTGTTTGTTTTGTTTGGCTGTTGGAGGAAGTTTGTAAAAGCCTGCCAGTTCACCCTCTGTGAACCCAGTTGGTAAATCTGAAACAGTTCCCCAAACCTCTGCGACGTGTCTGCAAGCTACAGTGCGCTGTTCAAGTTCAATATTGACACAARTGAGTCAGAAAATCTGATTCAGAACACTCATTTCCATCTTTCCAACGGATCTGTTTTCTCTTTCTCCATTTTTGTTTGCTCAGACAAGAAAGTCTCTCCTCTCATCCATCCATCATCCATCCATCCATCCACCCAACCTCTCCACATCAGCATCACTTCCGAGGATGAAGCGAGCGTCTCCGTCGCCCTGGCTGAGAGGAGCCTCCGTGCTCCTGCTGCTCCGCGCCGCCACCTCCATGGCTATGCTCCCCAATTCCACGGGCTGGCAGCAGATCCTGGACAAGTACCTGGACGAGGACGGCGACTGGTGGGAGGCCAAGCAGAGGGGGAGGCGGGCCATCACAGACAGCGACGCTCGCCTCATCCTGGAGCTTCACAACAAGCTCCGAGGCCAGGTCTACCCTCCTGCCTCCAACATGGAGCACATGGTAGGTGGCTGAGGGACGCAGGCCACGCATCAACCACCCCTGCTCTCCTCTTGCTCTCTCACACACACACACACTGTGCAACCTTGCACTCTTGTGACTCGTTGTTTTGCCAGAACAGAAGAATTTTGAAACAGCTTGCCAACGATCACATTTCTTTCTGCGTCTCTCGCAGCTCATGCTTTAAGATTTGTTTGACTTTATCCTTTGGCCATCGCATGTACGTGCGGCGCCAGATCGCTTTTCACAGAGCAATTAGAATCAGGCACCGGGCCTTGTTTTACCAGCTGTCCAACCCCCCGTTAAACACACACACACACACGCATTTACACTCACACTGAAAGTGTGCTGCTTTGCAAAAAAGAACAGCTTGAATGTGAGGTGGTATTTCACAGGTAAAAAAAAAAAGAAAAAAGAAAAAGAGAATCAATACTTGGTGCAGCACCTTTACATTCTCACTTAAGGAGCAACAGAACAAAAGGCTGTCTTTTAGCCTTCGGTGAAGGCAAATAAACATTTCCTGCTGGGGGTAGCTGCTGGACTGTGTAATCGTGTAATTGAGAGGTTGAGCTCGACTAGCTCTTGTGAAAACTGAACGCAAGCTTCTGGTTTTGTGGAAAACGGCTGAGCGAGGCAGATCTTTCCTACCGGAGCCTGTTCCAGCCGGACTGTTTTTAGCTTCAGGAGAAGGGTTCAAATATGCCCAACAAGAGGGTGTGAAGGAAAAGAAAGAGAGTGATGGTCAGCTGAGAATATGAAGGGAAGAGAAAGAAAAGCTTTGTAAATTAAAGGAAGAGGCAAAAAATCAGGTAAAAGTAAAAAGATTTGGAACCGTGAATCCAAATGTCTGATTTTTGCCTTTTRTTTTGAAAGGGCTTCTATATTTCGAGGCTTTTCTGCCCGCATTGAACTGCTGTCACCTTTCAGAAACCTCACAGCTTCAGTCTGCTGGAAGACTTCACAGACATGCCCGCCTGTGCTCCAGATGTACAGCCATGCATGCAGAGGCACGTTCGTGCGAATCCACCAGGCAAAAACGCACGACCGTTCGCCCATCAGCTCTCATTGTTGCGAGCACTTTGTATTAAACCACGGCCCCGGTGACCCCGCTGAGGCGGAGGGGCTCGGAGATACCATCTACTCAAATCCCCACACTTMTTTTCCCCTCTTCATCCTGCTTCCTTTTCTCGCCCTCTCACTGTGCCTCCCTCTTTCCTTATACCTGTGGCTCTGTTCCCATTCTGTCATTATCCAACACAGAGACCCAAAAAAAAAAAAATAAAAAAAAAATCCCTGAATAAGCATTTGCACTCTGCAGCCATCCACGAAGCTTTGCTACAAGGACAAGCGGCTCTGCCTCCTGCCTGTGGCTCAACATTCGACCCACAGGTACAAACAGAGCGGTGCCAGCATTTGAAGGCCAGCAAGACAAACAGATGGCATCTTGGGAGAAAAGGCTTCCTAAATGTTTAACTGGGCTTGGCTGGCCTGCGCTCGGGACTGAGGTGTCGGTGATGTTAGTGATTTATGAGGGTGATTTTTATTTATTTGTTCTTGTCCTGGGTGAATCAGAGCTTTGTGCATTTTAGTTTATCCTAAGATATTTATTTCTGGTGGAGAGTAAACCTATCAAAGTCCTATGAGACAATAATTAGGTTAAAATATGTGTTTGAGCGTGACATCATGAATCTGTAAAAGTGACTGTACCACTTACTGAAAACAGCTGTCAGGTGG